GGACCACAGGGCCTTGTCTTTTTGGTAGACTCACATAGACAGGTCGATCCCATATTGCAGAGATGTAAGGTACAGGTCATGATTGAGGTGGGAGCAGGGTTTTGTAAGAGCTCCAGCAGTTCCAGGACCACTGCCTGAGCTGGGTGAACAGAGCGAGGAAAATAAGAATGTTCAGAGCAATGCTTCTCAGACTTCCTGTGCATCTGTACCGCACAGGAATGGTGCTGAGACATTGAATCTGTGGGTGGGTCCAGGGCAGGCCTGGTGTCTGCATTCCTTCCATGCATCCCTGAGGTGGAGCTTCAGTCCTGGAGAAAAGGGACAGGCAGCCAGTAGGACCAGGATGAACAGGAACCTTGACGCTTGAAGGAGAGTGATGCATTCTGGGAGTGACAGGCAATGAGGAAAATGAAACAGGTGGAGTCGGGTCAGGAAGAGCCTGTGTACCTGGACTGGCAAGAGCTTACAGGGACCTCTGGGAGAAGCGATCTTTTCCCAGCAAGCCAAGCTTCCCCCTGTGCGGACAACGAGGCCTTCATAAGCAGGGCCCTCCGGTCAGGGCCACGTTGCTGCAGGTCAGAGGTGGTCACTCACCGGGAGTCTGATATGCCCCTTTCTCTTCAGATTAAGGAACTCACGGGCAACCTCAGCAGGAGCTCCCCATCTTCCAGTCTGTCACCTGGCTCCGGGGGCACAGATTCCGATTCCTCCTACCCACCTACCCCCACCACGGAGAGAAGTGTGGCAGTATCTGTGAAAGATCAGAGGAAGGCCATCAAGACCCTGCTGGCGTGGGTACAGAGGAAAACAAGGAAGTAAGTTGCAGCCTCGCACCCTCCTCCCCACACACTGGCATCCGTCATGGGCTCACAGCTCCACAAAGCTGTTTCCAGGCCCAGGGAGTGGTATACCTGGCCCTGGGTGGTGAAGGAGGGGCGGATTTTATCTGTTAAGGTGCTAGGCATCCATGGGCTCCATGGTTCACATGGACCATCAGAACAGGAATGCAATGTGCTTTTCCGTGTGTGTGTGTGTGTGTGTGTGTGTGTGTGTACATGCATACACTGCACATACAGGGGCGAGAGCAAGCTTTGGGTGTCTTCCTTGATCTCTCTGCCTCACTGGCTAGCTGGCCAGTAAGTTCCTGAGGATCCTCCTCTCTGCCACCCAATGCTGGGGTTGCAGACATGCACAGCTATGCCTGACTTTTTGCATGGAGGCTGGGGATTCAAACTCAGATCCTCATGTTTGTGCAGCAACTGCTTTTTCCTGTCTCCCAAGCCCAGTTTTATCAATCATGTCAAGCCTTTAGCTGGCAGCTCTGGGTCTTAGGCAGGGGTGCCAGGCCAGTGTAGAGGAAACCACACCTTCTTAGGGGCACCCTAGCTCCTCTGTATATAGTCCGGGGCTTACTTACCTGTCCAGGCCTCCCCTGCTAAGCCTACCATCATCTGCTCACTGCCTTCCAGGACAACTGCAACAAAATGAAATAAAATCTGTGAGAACTGCTTGCACCACGCCAGATCCCCACAGTCATTTAATAAGCTTCTGTGCTTGCCTCCCTAGTGACATGGAAGAGGAGGTGGAAAAGAGGCTAGACCTTTGGGGTTTTGATGGAGAGGGTCAAGTGTGAAAGATTGGAATAGGTGACTGTGAAAAACTAGGAAATGTTTAAAAATAAATCTACACAAAGAGAGTTCATTGCCAGAGGCCTGAGTTAGGGTTGGTGTGCCTGCGAAGGTGAAAGGATCGCTAGGTAGATGGAAGCATTCTTGTGTCCCCACCTTGGGGTGCCCACGTCACTCTGCACTTGGGCAAGTGTGCATGACAGCTGGTGACTGTGGCTTGGTCTACAGCTTCACTAAGAATTGTCTTAGGTGTGTCACTGCTTTGAGAATTTTCGTTAAGGTTGGGGGGTGAGGGTTTGCAGGAGCTCTGAACTGAGGCTTTGTAGCCTGCTAGGAATCTGAGTGATTTTTAAATTAAAGAGTATATGGGTTCAAGTTCAGTGAGCACAGTAAGAAATCAAAGGTTGGCTTCTGAAGGGAGCCAGCGCCTGGCACGATTCTTCTTATCACTTACTTTGAAAGTTGTGATTTTAGGGCTGAGGAGATAGCTCAGTTGTTTAAGTGCTTGCCATGCAAGCGTGAGGGCTGGAGTTCAGGTCCCTGTGGCTGCTCCCTCCCCTGTAATTCCAGTGCTCAAAGGCCACACCTCCCCCAGAGCAAGCCGGCTAGGCAAACAAGCTGGATGGGTGAGGGTTAGGTTCAATTGAGAGGTCCTGCCTCAGTGAAAAGGGTAGAGAGCAATTGAAGACTTCTGACACCAACCTTGGGCCTCCACACGCATGTGTTGTACACATGCACACAGGCAAACTCACAGATACACACGCAACGTGAGAAATGTGATTTTATTTGTATTCATAGTGCTGGGGCTGCCTCTTAGCAAGTGGCTTGTGGACTCCGTGCTGTGTGCACTAGGTTGCCCTTAAGATGTGACTGTTCTTGTGCAAATAACCATCCTTCCCTGTAGGTCGTCCTGTGGTCACCCCATATTATAAATGAGGTGCTGGAGGCTCAGAGAGAGTCAGAAGCATAGAGGGGTGACTGAGGTATTAGCCTGTCTCTGTCTTTATTAGAAGCTTACCCTATGAGTCCCATCTTCATTGTCGCTGATGGCTTGAGCCCCATGAAAATCTCTGCTTCATATATCTGAGGACATGGGAACCCAGGGTCCCATTTGCCTTTTTGGATAACATATGTCTCTTGCTCCATTTGTTTGGAAAAGGAAGTGTTACTACTTAGGGCAGTCATCCTGGGGCTCAGGACCAGGGTGTCTGCAGAGTGAGGTGTGCAGCACCCAGCCCCTTCTGGGGCCAGCAAGGCTGTTGCGTGCTGACCTCTCCTCTCGTGTTTTCACTAACCCGAGTTGTGGTTGCTGCTCTTGTTTGCCACCAGGTATGGTGTGGCAGTGCAGGACTTTGCGGGCAGTTGGAGGAGCGGGCTGGCTTTCCTGGCTGTCATCAAAGCCATCGACCCCAGCCTGGTGGACATGAAGCAGGCCCTGGAAGATTCCATGCAGGAAAATCTGGAGAAAGCCTTCAGCATCGCACAGGATGCTTTGCACATCCCCAGGCTCCTGGAGCCGGAAGGTACAGCGACCCCCCTTTTCCTGCTCTGTCCTTACAGCGACTTTTATTACAAATGTACCACCTGTTGTTCCAGGTAGGAAACTCAGAAAAAAAATCCACTGAAAAAAATTTTCCATCTCCTATGTTACAACCTTTTCCTGTGCATCTAATTTCAATATTTTTGCATAATTATCATTTGGTATATGTATAATTTCATTTCTTTTTTCATTTAATACATATGGTATAAATGTTTAACTAATATATTGCTCTAATGTCCTAGTTATATATTCTTATTGGATGCATAGTAGTCCACGTGGTGGGTACACTAAATTTACTTGGCTCTTCTATACTGGGGTCATTGAGGTTATTTCAGAAGTGATCACTTTGGAGGCTGGAGATGTAGCTCAGTGGTAAGGGGGAGGCCTTGGGTTAGATCCCAATTCTGTGGGCAGAAGGAAAGAGGGAAGGAAGAGAGGAAGGAAGGGAGGAAGGGAGAGGGGAGCCTCATTTTTTACACAGTGTGTGCACATCTCACTGGGTAGAACCCAGCATGTCTCTGACTCTGCATCAAGGACGTGAAGAATGACTGGGGAGGATGCGCTTCTGACGGTGTGCGGCTCTCTTTCCTCACATTGCTTCCACATAGTAGTGGCTAATTTGAACACCCCCCACCCCCCTCCGCAGCAGGGTGACACAGTCACCAGACATGCTGATGGAGCCAGAAGGGAGCTGAATGCCCACAGTGGAGGAAACAGACCCAAGGAGGAGTGGGAAGGTTCTTGAACACAGGGAGCCCAGGGTTCTCCATCCCAGGTCCTCTGCTCATCAACCAAAGGGATTCATGCTCTCCACGCCTAAATTTCCTCACTGAGAAAAGAAGAGGGAGAACTCGTGATGCATGGGCTCCTTTCCCATCAACGCCCTGCAGTCCTATTGGGAAAATGTCTTTGTGTTTGCTAACTCCTGTGTCTCTCTCAACAGACATCATGGTGGACACACCGGATGAGCAGTCCATTGTGACTTACGTGGCACAATTTCTAGAACGCTTCCCGGAGTTGGAGCCTGTATGTTCATTTCCCTTACCTTTAATTCACAAACCGAGTATTTGCCTGGCTTCCCAGTGGACAGAGCTGACACCCAGGCTGTGTCATTCTATGTGGCTAGTAGTCACAAGCTGCTTTCAAGTTTCTTGCCATGTTTTAATTTCTAAACCACCTGTGACATAGATCAAGCGGGACAGGAAGCCAGTTACATCGCACACAAACCTTTTCCCATACCAGACATTATGAAGATGATAGAAAATGTTTGTTGTCCGGGCTAGACTTCACTCTTTAAATATCCCATATAATATTTCAACAATCACCAGGTTTTATCTGAAAGTTAAAAAGTATAAAAGAGAATGACAGTTTAAAAACCATGCGTGTGTGTGTGTGTGTGTGTGTGTGTGTGTGTGTGTGGTATGTTTTATTTTTTGCATTTTTGAGACAGGATTTCATGTTACAGCCTAAGCTGGACCTGACCATGCAGCAGTCCTCCTGGCTTAGCTTTCTCGGGCCTGGAACTCTGCGTGTGTACCACTATTCCCTATGTATGCTTTAATTTTTTTTTAGAATCCTTAGGCTGGAGACATGGCTCAGTGGTTAAGAGCATTGGCTGTTCTTGTAGAAGACCCGGGTTCAAATCCCATCACCCACATGATGGCTAACAACCGTCTGTAACTCCAATTCCAGGGGATCCGATGCCCTCTTCTGTCCTCTGCCAGAATTGCACGACTTGGTTGCACTTGCATATGTGCACACAATGCACACATACACATAAAATAAAATAAAGCAAAAACATTTAAAGTTTTAGAATCCTAGTAGTTGTAGACAGGTTTTGGGTAGGTGGACAGAAGTTATAATGGCTTCATTGAACTCCCCCTGCCCCGTCTCTCTCTCTCTCTCTCTCTCTCTCTCTCATCCACATCCACACACCCACACCCACACACCCAGACACACCCACACACACCTGAGACAGTAATAACATGAATGAGAACCATACAACTTTCTGTCAAACCCATCTGTCACTTGCTCAGGGGACTCAGCAAGCCTCTGGGCCAGACTTGGCTATAGCTTGCTGTCATAGCACTTGCTAGGCATGTATAAAACCCTAGGTTCAGTCCCCAGTTGTGCAAAAATGAATAAATAAAAATAGAATAAAATCAGTCAGATGACGCATCTGACCTCATGTAGCTGTGTTTGAATCGAGAAAACAGTAACACCTTAGCAAATACATTGTATTTCCAAGAAAATATAAGTACTTGACAGAAGAAACACAGTGGGCAAGAATTAAAGAATGCCTTTAATAGCATAATGGGGATAGCTGTTCTAGCTGGAGGCTGGTTAAATACCTGGGCTACCGAGTCCGCAGGTGGCCTTACCTTTATCCAGTGTGGTTCATGGTCATTTTCCTTCTTTTATAGATGAGAATATCATTGCTCAGAGAGGAGTAAAGGGCTCTCCAGGGTCACACAGCCACCGAATACAGAGCTAGAGTTGACCCCAGGCCTCTGTGGTTTCAAAGTTCAGGTTCCTGGCTCCCTTTAAACATACCCCCTTTTGTACAGCAGTACCTCACAGAGGCCTCCAAGCTGTGGCTTGCCTTCTTGTTTGACATCTGTGCATGGTTCCCAACCCTCTCACCACCGTGGTACTTTAGAAACTGCCCAACTGCCACTTGAAGCTTTGTGGTTCCTGGCTGGTTACTTAGCCTGTCTGACACCTGAATTAGATGTCCTCTATTGGAAATGGCAACCACATTTCAATGTTGTGTGAAGATAACAACGGTGTGTGCGAAGAACTGGGTTTTGTGTGTGGCATGAACATTCGGCAGTAGGTGGCTACTTTAGGATCCAGTTCTCCTGACATCTGTGCAACAGAGTTTGAGCTCTTAATCTGGAGGCAGAATCTAAAGTCAGTTAAAACTTGAAGTGTATGTATGATTCAAGGTCACAGAAAGGGTTCAGCAAATCTGTCTGGATTCTTGAGGGCTGGGTAGAGATGTTGAAAAAGACATGCTGCCTAGAACAAGGGGTCTTGGTTCACTGTAGAACAGTTCCTTCCCATCCTTGGCTCATCCCAACACCCACTGAGTGCCTTCAGTTGGGTGTTGACCAAGTATCAGACCATGAGTCTCACCTTACAGCCCAACACATGATCTCTATTGGTAAACATAACATTTATACTTGACTAGAATGCATCTTGAACCCTTGGTACTCTATAATGTGCTGTTGCTGTGTCCACCTCCTGGTCTGATACTCAATATACAAACTGATTTCTTTTATTATTATTATTTTTTTTCTTCCTTAAGTCACTTTTAATCATGGTGTTTTGTCACAGCAACAATATTTTTATTTTATGTGTCTGAGTGTATTGCCTGCATGTATGTGAGTGCACCCGTGTCATGCAGTGCTGCGGATGTCAGAAGAGGGCTTTGGATTGATTCCCCTGGAACTGGAATTAAGGACGGTTCACAGCAGCTGTGTGGGTGCTGGGAATCGAACCCAGGTCCTCTGCAAGAGCAGTCAGTGCTCTTAACCGCTGAGCCATCTCTCCAGCCCCATGAACTGATTTCTTTGCTTTTCTTGTCTTAGTATAGGAGAGAAATGTTTGAAAGTCTTCATCTGTGGTTATAGATTTGCATATTTCCCCTCATGGTAAGGGTTTGCTCTGTGGGCTGCTGCGCTATTCTTGGGTGAGGACATTTAAGATTGCTTTATCTCCCTGATGGCTTGATGGTTGTACTGTTATGACATTTCTGTTCTGAGGTGTACTTTGTCTAGTAGGAGTATAGTCAGTGTGGCTCTCATAGTCTTTGGGCAATAGGTGTTTCTCCCTCCTTTTCTTCTTCTACACGTTTGTGCATCTGAAGTATGTGTCTTGCAAATGGTGTAGAGTTGAGTCTTATTTCCGATGCATTGTGATATAGGTCCTGCCTTTGATGAGTCTGTTTCTTGTTCTTTCACATAAATCTGCTCTGCCATCTCCTTTCTGTCTGCTCTCTGTTTTTTTTTTCTTTCTTAAGGTTTTTGTGGATTATTCAAGTATTTTTGGTGTCCCTTTTCTCACCTCTTTTGACTCGACAGCTGCATCTTGTTGAATCATTGTTCTTGGTATTCTAACACCTTTTTAACACATCTCAGCTGACCTCAAGTTAATATTATGCCACTCCAAGGCATGCTTTATACCCTTTATAAATGCAACGTGCTTTATACCCTTTATAAATCCTACTCACCACCTCTCCGTTTGTGCTGTTGTTATTTACAGACACATATAGCTTAGTCTCCAACACTTCAACACTTTAACACTTTTTGCTTTCAACAGTCAGTAGGCTTTTAAAGAAAACTTTAAAAATTTTTATTATTATTAGAGCCAGGCATGGTGGCACACACCTTTAGTCCCAGCACTCGGGAGGCAGAGGCAGGTGGGTCTCTGTCAGTTTGAGGCCAGCCTGGTCTATATAGCAAGTTCCAGGACAGCTGGGGCTACAGGGAGACCCTGTCTCAAAAAAACCAAAAAACATTATTATTATTACTATTATTATTATTGTTATTGCATGTATTGTGTGAGGGAGGGGTATGCACACAGAGGTCAGAGGACAACTTGCAGGAATCAGTTCTTTACTTCCACCGTCGCTTCTATCAGGTCATCAGGCTTGTGTGGCAACTGCCTTTGTCCTCTGTGCCATCTCTCTAGCCCAAGAAAACTTTAAAATAATGTTTTCTATGGCCATGTGTTTTTATTTCAGGAACTTTCTGTTTCCCCTTCAGATTTAGGCTTCCATCTGTGATCATTTCCTTTTAGCCAGAAGAATTTCCTCTGTCTTCCTTGACATCTAGATTGGTTGTTCTGCAGTCTTCTTTTGCTAATTCTAACCCTCGGTCATAGATGTGTCTACTTTTGGTGATTGTTGCTTCCCTTGTTCATGGGTTTCAGTCCCCGGCCTCTTTATTTCCTGAATTTTTTTTTATTTCACGATGCACTTAGTATACAAAAGAACAGTAGCAACCGATGTAGCTGATGTAGATGACACTTTTTTCTGTGTTAGTCTGTTTTCTGTTGCTATAACAAGATATCAGAGGCTAAATAACATATAAAGAAGAGAAGTTCAACTCAGTTTGAGAGGTTTGAGGGCATAGTGCCGGCATCTTCTAGTGAGAACCTCCTGACAGGTGGCATCACAGTGGAAGTGTGTGTGAGTGGAATGATGACATAGCAAGACAGGAAGCTAGGAGAGCCATTTAGAGTTAGGCTCACTCTAAAAACAACTCACTTGGAAAACAAACTTGGGGTCCCATGAGAAGTATATCAGTTCCTTCTGAGGGCAGTATCCCCAGGGCCCAATCACCTCACTCGAGGCTCCACCTTTAAAGGTCCCCCTATCTCTCCCATCTCCATACTGTGTACCAAGCTTCTAACACATGAGCCCTTGGGGACAAGGAAAGCAGAGAATATAGCCCTCTCCCAAACAAGCACCAGAGAGGTGCAACTGCCTCAGGATTGAGAGGAGCCCCTATCCTGTTTTAGTCATTTCAGTTGGCAGGCCTCATGATCTGAGGATGAGGTCAGTCCGCTCCATCAGCGCACTGGAAGCCAGACCCTGCAACACTGACAGACTCGTTCTCAGTTTCTCAGCCCTGCTCCTGGTTGGCTCTTGAACAGCAGACACTTCTGTGTAGAATCTCTAGCCTGTGATGAGAGTTGATGTTGTATTTGTAACCCTGTCGGACTCAGCAGCCTATGTTGTTAGTATGGTTGTGGCTGATCTCGCCTTACCCCAGGTGGGCCTGCTCCCTCATTAGCCCACATGACTGGGCAGGGGTCCACAGGAGTGAAACGACTGAGAGATGCAGCTTACCAAAGGACACTCAATACTCCACGGAGGTCTCTTTGTATCCATGGTTTTGAAAGAAAAATTAAAAAAACTCAGTATGTCATATTTTTATTTATCTGGCATTTTTACATCTCAGCAGGACAGAAGTGTTTTGTGACCATTGACATTGTCATAAGAACTCTGTGTTAAAGTAACTTTTCTGTTTGTGTTTTGAGAGATGGATGGATATTTTACTTGATGGCGGAACATGTTATTTCATGTTGCCTTGTGTCTCTCGGCAGGAAGATTTTATGAATCCAGATAAAGAAGCCCCGATCGAGTCTACCTTTGTCCGCATCAAAGAAAGCCCCTCTGAACAGGAAAGCAGAGTCCTCCTCCTCACCAAGAACGGGGAGCGGGCCTACGTTAACCACAAAACCAGCCACCCGCCACCGGCCAAAGTCTTCGTCTGTGACCAGCCTGAGAGCACAAAGGACTTCTACCTGGGCGCTGTGCCCAGCCACAGACTGTCAGATAGCTCCACTGAGTTCATGCATCAGATCATAGACCAGGTCCTCCAGGGAAGCCAGGAAAAGACTGAAGCCACCACCAGTGAGCCAGATCCAGAATCTTCCATCTTATCAACCAGAAAGGATGGCTGGAGGTCCAGCTCTTTGCCAGTCAAGAAAACTGTCCACTTCGAGGCTGATCTGCACAAGGGTGTCTCCTGCAGTAAGGATCCTGTCTACAGTCCAGATCTTTGCTTTGAAGGAAGCCCAGGAGCAGCCAAAGAGCTGTCAAAGCAGGATGGCCATGTCTTGTTGACTGAGGCGGCCGAGGAAAAGAAACTGGAACAGGAAGCCAAGCCAGTGCTGGAAGTGGCCTCAGACAAGGCCTCTGAGGACACTGTTCATGTGGATGGTATGCCCCATCATGCTCAGCCCCTCCAGGACTCCTCGTTCTGTAATGGCACTGTAGAGAGTCTGGCTAGCCATGCTGAGGAAGGCCCTCCTCCATCCCTTGAAGATCAAGCTGTCCTGGCCAACTCCACCGAGCTCAAGGTCCCACTGCTGACTGTGGAACCAATGGATAAAGATGACTATTTTGAAGGCATTCCACTAAAGGCCTCCAAGTTTAACAGGGACCTAGCAGATTTCGCCTCAACCAGCCAGGCTTTGAGCGAAGTTCCCTCACTCCACGAGAAGCCATCCGGTGAGGAGGGTTTTGAGGGTTATCCTGAGAAACCAGGGAAAAGGAAATCCAAGTCTCCTCACACAAAGAGAGAGTCGCCTGAGTCCCAGGCAGAGCCTGACAAACCTCCTCCCGAGAGCCCTGAGCAAGAAGGTCAAGACCATCCTTTGCCCCCAGAAGAAGCACCTGTGGATAATAAGCCAGAAGTGTTTGAAAAAGCTAAGAGAAAGTCAGCCCGGCATCACAGCGAAGAAGAGGGAGAAGCAGAGGGCCTCCCAGGGGTCGGCGGGGAAATACCATCCAACCCTCCGAGCACCAGTGTCAGCCTGGAAACCCTCAGGAGTCACAGCCTGGATTTCAAGCCTTCCCCACCGCTCTCAAAGATCTCCGTCATCCCCCATGACTTGTTCTATTACCCGCACTATGAGGTGCCCCTGGCCGCGGTGCTGGAAGCTTACGCTGAGGGTGGAGAGGGCTTGAAAAGTGAAGACGTGGATCTGGAGGAGCCTGAAGAGGGCTCTCTGCGGGACTTGGACTCCAAGGAGGAGGAGGAGGAAAAGGAGGAGGAGGATGACGAAGAGGAGGAGGAGGAGGCCCATAGCTCCCAGAGCAATTGCAGCTTCTCTGTGCCTAGCGTTGAAGTTCACCCCTGCACTAGTGACCAGGTGCCCCCTGTCAACGGGGGTGGTGTGGAGGCTACACCAGACTCAGGGCCTGCTTCTCCACCCCACCATGACGAGGACCACCAGCCAAGGGAGACCAGAGAGAGTGATCCTGTGGAGAGTCAGCAGGTACTCAGTGGTGGGGTTCAGGAACTTTTGTGCCCTGCCTAAGGAGTTCTGTGTATCTCCTTCCATAAGGCTCCCCTCACAGACATCCTAAGATTCAGAATTTAAAGACATCCTTTTAAATTCTGTCAAGTGCCGGCTTGATACCCAAAAGGGAGCCTCTCTTGAAATTATGCACCCAGTATCTTACTTCCTTATCCCAGTCCTGGGCCTACTCACGGGCTTTCTAAGAGGAGAAGTGAGAGCACGTGAGGGCCCAGCAGAGTAGGAGAGCGATCATTTTAAAAACAGTAACTAGGTGTGATAGTGATCCATACGGCCTTCTCCTGCAGCCACCTGGGGAACTGGGCAAGTCTTGCTGAACTCCAGCGGTGATCTGTAGAGGCTGTGGCTGTGTGGGGTCTTTGGTTACTGTGGCTTGCTATGTGTTATGTAAGCAGGAAGGAGGACACTCACTCTAAGCTCAAGCAGCTGGGCACACACTTGTCAGCCACTTGGACTTTCCACTCCATCAGGCCAGCAGCTCAAGGAGGGCACAAGAAGGATCAGGGAGGGAGAAGGCATACAGAGCCTTGGCCTGATGCCCCAGGGAGCGGACTGCGGCCTCCATGGTGACTTAAGGACTCTGCAGTCCTGGGAATGCCAGAGGAGAGTCCAAGCCCTACTGTTTGTGCCCTTGGGATATAGTGCAGAAACGAACCAAGGAGACATGCACCAAGAGAGGGGCCCGGGCTTGACCCCAGCAGCTCAGCTGCCCCCTCACCAGCCTTGTGGAAGGCAGTGAGACCAGCATTGCTTCAAAGTGAGAGAGAATTGTGCTGCACCGCCTAGGGCCACAGAGGCTGCAGCAGAGGGAGATATCTCAGACCCAGAGAGTGGGAGAGCTGCTAGGTAGGGGGCATTCACCAAGTGGCCGAACCAGGCTGGGACTGTAACCAGCTTTTTCCAGATCCCTTCAGCTCCATCTCTGTCCCGTGTCTCTTCCTCACTCTTTCGCTTTTGTCCTTCCCAGTTTATCCCCTCACAGCCCACAGAGGGGTGACTCTAAAGCCCAAGTCTCACCACTCCCTGACTCTTGCCTCCTTAGCACCATCTTTGACACTTTCCTGTTCTACCTGGCCATCCACCCCTCTCCACCTCTTCTTCTCCTCCAGCCAAGACAGCTTATCCTGGGTCCCCATCTGGGTTTTCCCACCCATCACTTGGTAAAGGGGTCTTTCACCCTTCAAAGCCCTGTGTCGAGGCCACCTCCCTCCAGGAGGCCTCCCCGATCCTGCTGGGCAGAGCCCCCGCTGCCTCAGTTGAGGCCAGTCATACTCTCCAGCAGCCCTTTTCTGGGTGCTTACTGGTTTCCATGGGGTTTGTTTTTCCCTTCCAGGAGTGAGTAGACATTTGTATATTCATCTTTAGGCCCCGAAGACCAGCATGGTGCCTGGCTGGGCCTGCCAGTGCAGGGGTCAAAAGTGTATTGGCTTGGGAATGAAACACTAAGATAAATGAGGAAATTTGTGGGGCTTGTGAGCGATACTGATAGAGATAAGAAAGTCTTGCACTCTGGAGGACTGCAGGCAAAAAGACCTTTGGGGAGCCTTCAAAGATGGTTAGAACTGAGCTGGGCATGTTAGTGCATACCTTGGAGGCAGAGGCAGGTGATCTCTGTGAGTTTGAGGCCAGCCTGGTACATAGGTCAGCTGGGGCTAGAGGGAGACCCTGTCTCAAAAGAACCAAAATCCAGGGCTGGAGAGATGGCTCAGCAGCTAAGAGCACTGACTGCTCTTTCAGAGGACCCAGGTTCAATTCCCAGCACCCACATGGTGGCTAACCACCATTTGTAACTCCAGTTTCAGGGGATCTGACACTGTCTCTGACTTCCACAGGCATTGCATGACATGGGTGCACTTACACTCATACAGGCAATACACTCATTACACATAAAATAAAAATAATAAATAAAATTTAAAAAGAACTAAAAACCAGGGCTGGAGAGACGGCTCAGTGACTAAGAGCACTGGCTGCTCTTGCAGAGGTCCTGAGTTCAATTTCCAGCACCCATATGGTGGCTAACAACTGTCTGTATCTCCAGTTCCAGGAGATCTGATGCCCTCTTCTGGCCTCCTCAGGCATTGCATGACACAGGTACAGTTACATACATGCAGGCAATATACTCAACACATAAAATAAATATATAAAATATTTTAAAAACAGGGGCTGGAGAGATGACTCAGCAGTTAAGAGCACTGGCTGTTTTTGCAGAAGACCCAGGTTCAAATCCCAGCATCTACATGGCGGCTAACAGCCGTCTATAAATTCAGTTCCAGGGGATCTGACGTCCTTTTCTGTCCTCCATGTGCACTGCACAACATGGGTGCATTTACATACATGCAGGCTTAACTCTCATACACATAAAATAAAAATAAAGAACCAAAAACCAGATGGTTAGGATTGAGATGGTACGCTGCCTCCATGGGAGCTTGGTTTCATTCAGTTTGCCAACTTAGGATGATAGACAGAATTCTCAGTTGTGAGGGTAAAGTGTACTGCTACTAATGGTTGCTCGAGACAGGACAGTGAGCCATGTGTTCACTGTCTATAGGGCAGATGCTTCCTGTAGGTGACTTAGAAATGACCTTCAGTGACATCAGGCCTGATGTCTCCAAGCTGGGCATGGGGTCAGGGCACACCTGAGGCGGTTCTCCAGATTTCTGGGAGACGGAAGACTAAGAAAGGCTGAGTAGGTGGCTAAGAGCTCAAGTGTGTTCTGGCCCCTGGTGTCTGGCATGTTTGCTTTCTTTCTTGCTTGTGACAGGCTGTCATGTAGCTTAGGCTGGCCTTTAAAGTTCCCATGTAGCCAAAGATGACCTTGAACTTCTCATCCGCCTGCCTCCACCTCCATGCACATGGCTAGTTTATGTGGTTCTGGGATGAAAGCCAGGGCTTCATGCATGCTAGGCAAGCTTTCTACCAAATGGGCCACGTCCTCAGCCCCTGTCCCTTAATTCTTGCAGGCTTTCTGCCTGCCAGTAGTTACCCAAATCAGACTGAGTACCTACTGTACCCAGTGCATGGATGGGTGAATCACAGGATCAGTCCAGAGACTTAGAGTCTCATCCTACCCCAGGTCTTACTGGTGGCCAGGGTGGGGCAGATCAGGCATCCTTCCCCAGCTGAGTACCACCTCCTTAGGTCCAAGGGGAGTGATCCTGACCCAGCCTACATTGTGGCTTTGACCTGTAGCCTTGATTTGCCTGCTGCTCTCAAGCCCCACCTTGTGATTGATCCCCTTGTGTGCAGGTCCTGTCCTACCCTAGGGGTGATCAAAGGCAGCCCATAGGGCGGGGAGCCTGGAGCCTGTCTCCTACCAGACAAAGGAGGAGTAAGGAACTTCTCTGATACCTTTTTCAAAAAAAAAAGAAAAGAAAACCAATGACTTGATGGAGCTTAGGACTAGCAAAATGGCAAGTTTTTCTTCTTCCAATCTTTAAAGAAAAAATATTACTCTCCTGTTTCCCCTGTAGAAAGGTGGCTGTTACCCAGCCATGAAGGACAGCAGCCTCATGTGTCTGAAAGCACCTTCAGGTCCTGCCCAGAGCTTTGTTCTGGGCAGTTGGCCTGGCCTCCCAGTCTCTTTTTCTGGCACCCGTTCGGCAGGTTCTCTAAGCCCCTAAGGGATTCTTGGAGCTGTCACTGTAGTTCCCACGAATCTGGATTTCACTGGGAGCCTTGGTATCAAGGTGCCTGCATGGACAGTGGCCAGAGGTTCTCCTCTCCAGTAAATGCTAGCGATGTCACTCTGTGATCCCTTTGGCCAAAGGCATAATGACAGTGTTCTCACGCAGATTTTGTACTTGCCTGTTTGTCCCCTCCTCCCCTAGGCCCATGGACCACCTTTGAACCCTTGGCTACCTGGCTCTTGGGATTTGTTCCTCTGTTTAGGTAGATGATGGCTATGTGAAAGATTCAGCCATTACCTGCTGTAAAGGTTCCTCTCTGGGAACCCTGTGACATAGGGGGAAGAGGATGATAGTGATTGTACCCATTTGACAGACAGAAAAGTGAGGATCAAAGAGATAGTAAGTTACTTAAGGTCAAGTAGATGACTAGGGTAGGATTTCACACCAGAGCTTCCTGATGGGAAGGATTTCACAGTAGAGCTTCCTGACTTTAAAACATGCTGTCTTCACCCCATCAATTCATAGTCCTTGAATTCTGAATATGGAGTAGGAATCAGGGTGGGCTTCTCTACCAGGCCAGTGGTGCTGGAACGAATTCATGAGAAAAATGGACTTGAAAGGGACATGGTGACTAGGCAGTGTAGAGCCCATGATGTCACCTGCTCCAGTAGGAAATTTGACTTGTATCTGGCTGCTTTGTCTTCCAGTCTGAAGACTCCCAGAAGCCAGAACAACCCAGAAAGCCATTAGAAGAAACGGTGGTAGAAGAATCGACCAGCAGTAAAAAGAAGGAAAAAAGGAAACATGTGGACCAAGTAGAAAGTTCATTATTTATAGGCCCTGGCACTGTCCGCTCCTCAGACGACCTAGAGGACAGCAGCCCTTGTGAGCACAAGGTCCCTTCCAGGTAGGTCACTGCGATCTCACTCTGGAAGCACAGGTAGAGAGTCGCTCTCTGTGGGAAGGTGAGCATCTCAGATACACTGCATCAGTGGAGGGCACAAGCAGAGCCTGTGCCCTGAGCGTGACCTGAGAGACAGAAGTGCCCTGAGGCCTGGTCGGCCATGCCCTGTGCTTGTTCCGGGTGTACGGACTCGTCTCTGAGTGCATGGAGCAGGCAGCAGCCACCTTCCAGCTCCTTCTCACCTCAGTCAGGCATAGTCACCCATGATGTGGGTGGAGCTAGTTAGCCAGTGTAAGCGGACAGCACTGAGGTGTGCTCCTTCCACCTGCTGGCTTTAGGGTGAGAGGCATTAAGAAAACCCAGCTTCCTAGATATCTGCACCCAGCTAGAGGTTATTGAATAGGACCGTTCTCTGAGTAGCTCTCCCTTCTAAGTCCAAGATTTGTTTTCTGACCATAATTCAGTTGGTCTCCCTACATAGCTTCCTACTGACCTAGGCAGAGAGGCCTGGGCCTTGGAGCCTTCAGGACCCACGTGATCTGTCTTCTCAGCCACCTTTCCATTCATGCTTACATAGGCCCCTCTGGCCTTGGCTTTCTGGCCTCATTTTTTCTTGCTCATGCCTTACTTTAGGCTCCTTCAAACTGGAGGGCTGTCCCTCTGCCTGGAACACTGTTTCCTGGCTCACTGCAACTTGACCTCTGGGTGGCAACTCCACTACCACCTCCTCCAAACAGACTTCTTGGATTTCCCACAGGTCATTTTTGATCACCCTTCATATAATCTTGTTCTGTGGCCTCTGGTCATATTCTTCACACAACTGTAATTCCTTTCCTTTTAAATGTTTTGGCAGTGCTAGAGATTGAACCTAGGACTTCCAGCATGTTAGACAACCAAGCTAGGCTACCACTGAGCTATATCCCCAACCCTCTTTTGACTTCTTATTTTGAGACTATCTCACTAAATTGCTCAGGCTGGATTTGAACTCACTGTAGCCCAAATAAAGGTAAGGTAAAGAGTTTATCAGCATCACCCCACTGTTCAGCACAGCCCTTGGCTTGTGGAGGGCATTGAATAACAATTCTTTGAGTAGATGTATATATGGATAGCTATGCTTCCCCTCTCTTCTGGAGATCAGGGGATGATGGGTCCTGAACACCCAGCCTGGTTCTTGGTACTCAGCAGAACCCTGATGAATGTTTGCTGGGAGAGTGAAGGTCAAGTCACACCCACTATAAGGCACAGCCACCTGAGAGGAATCTCGCTGCAGAAAACAGGGAGAACAAGAACCCCCGCCCCACGAGATGGTGCTTTTGTATTAGAAAGCATTATAGATATGACACATGTGGAGGGGCCTCTGCAAGCCCCAGCCTACAGCCTGGGGATCAGTTGTCCATGAATGCTACTGGTTCTAAACCCTTTTGACTTTGGGGGTGCATTTTGCCTCATTCCTGTGCTGTAATACCAACTGAGAAAGCTTAACACATTTGGGATTAAAAGGTACCAAGGTTGCCTTACAGTGAATCGCTGAGATTTGCACTTGGGTCAAATGCTAGGCATATTTTCAAGCCCCTAAAGGCCATGTAGTGAGCTTGCCCGAAGGAAACTGAGATGACCCTCGGCTCCAGGGTGCATAGCACCCACCAGACACCTGCTAAGCAGCAAACCAGGACCCAAGACGATCCTGCCAGCATCATGAAGCAGGTGGGGTGGGAATGATGACCCATTTTACAGAGGAGGAAAACTAAGCAGAGATGTCCGTTTAGCTAGTATTGGCAACTGTCAGCCAGGAGCCACAGTAAAGGCCCAGGCTTCTTTGCATCTACCCTGAGGGAGTCAGCTCTGCTCAAAAGACCGAGGGGCTTCATTCCACTTTAGCCTCCAAGATTTGGACATAAAATCAGACTCTTTATGCACGAAAGGAAAGAAGGTAGTACCCCCTGGAACTAGACAAGCACATGGCAGCTGTGTGGCAAGGAGCACTAGAGAGGGAGTCTAGCTTCCAGGCATAGGCCCAGCTCTGTGTTTAACTTGGAGAGGACTGCTGGTGAATACTGAACCCAAGTGTGCTTGGACATAGAGGTCCCTTTCCTAGCATAAATCCTAGGATTTTTAAGAATATGTGGACTGCTTTCTAGTAAAAACTGACTTTACATGTTTTTGTAGTCAAGGGCCCAGTGTCTCTAGACACATCCAGTAATGTAGACACATCATTGTTCTTTGTCCCTGAGTCTGAAGCCATGACTTATCCATACTGGATGTGGAAGACTCAGGCTGGGGTGACTGTGTGACTGAGCCACCAGTACCTGGGGTCACACCCATTCAAAATGTGCCTTTGCTTTTCAGGACTAGCCACAGCGACTCCAGTATTTACATTCGACGCCACACTAATAGGTCTTTGGAATTGGTTAGTATGTGAATTTCTTCTTGTCTATGGCCCTGCTAATCACCACCTTTCCATCCTTCCTCCCCCTCCCAGCCCTGAGCTTTGAGATTGCTGACGTGCATCAATCATACTTTGGGATGGAAGACAGACACAGTGAAACCTTGTTTGTTAAGCATAGTCCAATTGGATGTTCAGTTGGGGCAAGAAGGGATGGAAATAAAGCATTGATTTCAAAGCCCGAAGGCCTCTTTGTTATAAAAATGAAACTAAGACACCTCCCACTTCCCAGAGTCTGCACCCACATCTAGAAAGTCCACAATCAAAGCAAGTGTGCATTAAGTAGAGAGCCAGGTGACATTTGCCAGTGCCGGCTTCTGAATCTGCTGACTCCCACTGTGGCCTTGATTCTGAAGTCCGTCTAGGTGGTGGGTGGGCCTCTCCCAGTCACCCTCAGGGCAGGGAGGCCAGGGGAGGAGGCAGAGTGATGTCTGTTGTTTAGCAGTTTGCTTTTTGAAAGTAGATGTCTGCAGTATCAAGAAAAGCCTGGCGTGGTCGGCTTTGTGTGCTTAAAATCATCTTGTTTTCTATTTCAGAGATTTCATCTTTACTAACTGGGTTGCGGGTTTTGTTTATAAATTTCACTGTAGGACCATTTTAGCTATGTTCAATCGAGGAACGCAGCCAATCTGGATGACAGGAGAAACCGAATGTTAAACAGGTTCGTGACTTCGTTCTCATTTGTGGGCTTAAAAAAATTATCAGTATTGTTTAATGCCCTAGTCTACGTCACGGGGGTGGTTATTTTTCGACTGTGTCTTATTGATCACAGTTTTACTCATTTGGGGAAAATGCAAGAATATACTTGTTGCAAATAACATGAATATCACTGGACAAAGAAGGAAAGCAGATATGCACTAGTGTGGGCAGAGGGACAGAGCATGACTCAGAAAATGATTGCTAAGCCAAGACCAGTCTGGGTTCTGAGCCTATAGCTGTATTTCAATAACACAGAGGCTGAAGCCAGCTATCAAAGGTAGAGCTATCAAAGGTATGTGTCCCAGAGTGCCGGAGGGACTGACCATGTATCCCTTCTGTCCCATGCAGGTACAATACTCAGAAGCTCACTGAGCTGATTTTACAATTTTATGGCATCAGAGCAGACCTGAAGAGGGATTACAAACATGCGAGGATGTCTATGAAAGTATTTCTTACTGACCATAGAACTAGGCAGTCTAGTGTATTGTTGCCGAGTTACTGTAAAACACTTAGAACGCAGGAGACCAGAATCAAAGCTCTTGAGGTCTGAGATGGCCCAACTCCTGTGAAAGTCAATTTTCTTGCCCTGCCTGCTGTGGGTTTGGATGGGAGAGAAGGATTTTGATGACTGGGGTTGGAAACCTCTGGCTGAATCAATACCCAGGAGTATGGACCTTAGACCTCCAACCCCTCTGTCTCCTTAAAAAAAAAAAAAAAAGTAAAACACATGCTTCTCATGCGGGCCTAAAGTACTAGGGAAATAATACTTTTACTTTTGATTGGGTAGAGCATTGATGTATGCAAGCGTGTTTTCTACCTCAAGCAAGAACTTGATTTGAAATTTAAATACACATGGTATATTTTTCTTATAGACAACGTTAAGCAAGAGAAATTTCATCCATTCTTCATTATCCTGAGCATAAATTGCTCTACTGTAGATGGCAGATGTTATAGCCCATCTACTTGTCTCTGGTCAGGAGATGGTTTTGGTTTTTCTTAGCTTCCATCTCAGGCCTAGAAACACCCCCACAAAGCTCACAGGCTTCTGTGGCTCAGCCCTGATGCACCCATCCCTCTACCTCTCCCTGGGGAAATTTGGGTCTGAGATTGTTTTCTAACACCACCCACAGTCTTTGGCTAACAACCTGTTTATTACATGCCAGGCCAAAGCAAGATGCCATTTGAAACACTGCTTTCCTGTCACATAAAAGAAAGATAATGCAAACCTAAATCAAATCTAGCAATTATCTTGAAGGGAATATTCCCAAGACAAAGACTGTGGGGTGGGTGACTTTGCTTGTTTCTGTTGGGCCCTCAATATTCCTTCAGACATCTTGCAAAGTCCCATTGCTAACTGGGCAATGGCTGGTTTTTGGCAGTCCCTTCCTCCTTATGGAAGTATCCTAGGATGCTTGGTGCAATGCCAGCTCTAGCACAAAGTAATTGTGGGGCCCGTGACAACCACTGTGAAATGCTCCCAGCAGCTCCTCCTGTTTGGGGTCGTGGAGATGGCTTGGGTATGTGCAGGTGCTCCAAGCACCCCCCCCCATAGATGGGGCCTCCCTGGTGCATCATGGGAGCCCGTAGCTACAGGTGGGCAGTGAGGCTAGGGTTCAGGATGGCACTTTTCTATTGTACCAGGTGTGGTCTGCCCTCCTAGGGATGCCACCAGTGACTACCCTGTCCTCTGCCTTTCCCTCTGCAGGAATGGCACCAATTTCTCTGGTGAAGCTGTGCCCCCAGGGAGCCGGAGTCCACCGAGTGACTCCCTGACGCAGCTTGTGCAGCCACCGGACGTGATGTATTTCATCCTTTTCCTCTGGCTCCTGGTTTATTGCCTGCTGCTGTTCCCCCAGCTCGATGTCAACCGATTCTGAGGCGTGTGTCAGAAGAACAAAAAGACAGAACCCTGGCGGGGGTGGTCTTCCTCCCACAGCTTACTGTCTGTTCGGGGTTGGTCCTCTTGTGCAGAGACCGAAGACCTTAGAGGGAATGCAACCCTTGCCTGTCTCCCGCCCCACCACTTGCTTTTTGGTTCTGTACTTCCTCTTGTATCCGTTTGTCTCTGTAAGACCCAAGAGCATGGTTTTCTCTCCCGCTGTGTGCTCAAAGCTCAGGTTTGAGGTTGTGTTGGTGGGTGGGTTTCCCACTTGTGTGCCTTGCTTGATCAGATGAGCATCCTTACTAATGTATAGCCCAAACTTGGATCTTAGCATGTATGCATACATGCAGGATTTTAAGATCTGGGAGGAACTTGAGTTGCTTACCTCTCAGGGGAGGGCCTGCCTGATTCTGAGAAAGAACCAAGCCCATACTAGAAAGAAAGCTGTCCCATTTTCTTTGGAGCATGGGTGTTTGTGGGAAGATGCTATGACCCGTCGCTGATTGGTTGTATTCACTGGGGAGTTCAACAGAATACACCTACATTCCCCTCCCCTCCAAATCACACCTGTGCATTGTTGGGTTCCAGGGAAGAGATGCCAGGATTGCTGTGAGCCATGATGCATTCTTCTTTGACTCTGGTTTTCCTGGAGGATGCGGGGAGGGGGCATTTTAAATTCACTTTTGCATCTGTTGGGATTGAGGTACAGCTGTGGTTTTCAAACCTTCTCTGCCAATGAGACCCTCCTGTCAGATGAAACCCACGAGGAACCTGATCTAGATTCGCATTCAAAGCAGAGCTCTGACTGGGATGGCCCTGAGACTCCCTCCCACTGGGCTGTGCAGACCTTGGAGTCCCTGTAAGACTCCATGATAAGCCCAAAAGGGCTGCAAGTGGCATAAACTCCCGCTTAAGATGAAGCTGGAAGGGTTCCTGCAGGTTTCTGGCCTCAGGATACACACCTTGGCACCAACATCCTGTGGTTAGTCATAATGGGTTTCTTGAAAAGGCTTTCTGAAATGCACTAGGGTATAGGCCAGGGCAGGCAGCTTGTGAAAGGAAAAAAGGATGTCTCCCTCCTCCGGTGGTCCTCAGCCCCAGCTCCCTCTGTCCCTCTGCAAAGTCTCAGGTCACTGGGGGACTCTTGTTTCTTCCCCATTTGTGATCCCTCCCACACATTAGGCAACCAATATAAAATCATACCCTCAGTCAGGAGGGAGCCACAGGGCTGAACCCACAGAGGCAGAGCAGGCTGAACAAGGGTACACCGCTCACTAGGAAAAGACTCGCCACAAGCCCTCTGACCATTTGATGCCCAGTCCAAAGCTGTTATTTTTTGTAGGGAACTTCCAACCAAGCACAAGAGTGGTCTGGAAAAAAAAAATGACCAAGTAAAATGTCCTCACCCAAACTAGGCCATATTCTTTAGACCTTTTATTGACCTTCAAGCTCATCCCCTGTTCCTTCTGGAATATTCTTGGCAGCTGTAAAGGCACGTATATTGGTTAGTTTTCTTATTGCTATAACAAGGCACATGACAAAAACCAGAAAGGAAGGGTTTACTTTGACTCACAGTGTGAGGGTGCAGTCCATCATGGCGGAGGAAGTCATGGTAGGGGGCGCCTGAGGCAGCTAGCCACATTGTTTCATAGTTAGGAAACAGGGAGAGAGATGCTGGTGGTCAGCTCACTTTCTCCTTTTTATTCAGTCCAGGACTCCAGCCCATGGGATGGTGCTGCCCGCTTGTAGAATGTGTCTTACCTTTTCAGTTAAGCCTTTCTGGAAAGACCCTCAGGGACACACCCACAGATGTGATTCCATGGTGACTGTAGGTGCGGTCAGAGTGACTGTGGAGATGAACCATCACATCCTGTCATTTTCTCTCTCCTTAGCAAGCCAAGGACTTGCTTATTTTATGCACAGTTCAAAGAATTTACAGAGTACATGGAGTCATGACAGCCCAAATCTGGCCTCTCAACTGTTCTGCCTCCCCTTCTGGAAAGAACCAAAAACTTCCAAAGTGAAAGCTCTTGGGAGCTTGGAGCGATTTCATATTGAGGGCCCAGAGCTCCATGGATGTAAGGTACATAGTGAACTTCCATCAGACTTTCAAAGGTACAGATGATGCAAAGATTATGCATGTAATACTTTATGACCCCACACTCTTTGCAGTCCTTGCCCAAATGAGGTAGCAAAGAAGAGCTGACCTAGAAGTGACTCGTTAATTTTATGAGTCCAGACCTTGCTCAGAAGGCTGCATGCTGCTTCTCTCGCTTACAGCTTACAGCAAGCTTTAAAACATCTACAGACAAGATGCCCGAGTCATTTGGTTCAGGCTGGCAGTAAACTGACTTTATTTGAAAGGCAAAATAAATCTCATTTGAGTATAGGCATATGTAGAAGGGACTGGATATAAAAGGCTACTGGTCGAATCATCCTATCAAATCATGTATGTATGTGTGTCTATATGTGGTTAATGTGCACATGATTGTGAGTGTTTGAAGAAGCCAGAAGAGGGTATTGGATCCTGCCTGGAGCAGGCAGTGGGAGCCACCTGAGATGGGTGCTGGGAACTGAACATGGGTCCTCTTAACCACTGAACCATCTCTCCAGCCCCTCTTGGCATCTCTTAAATAAGAAAATGCTATAGTGTTTGAAATGAGGACTAGTCACCCCCAAATCTTAATTGTCAGTAGTAACCAGTTTCAATATTTTTTGCTGTTTCTTCTAATATTTGCCTCTGCGTTTCTATGCGACACTTTATTTTTCATTATTAGTTTAGAAGCATCTACTGACTTGCTAATGTCACAGATGAAGGCTTCCCTCTGGCCTGGACCATGCCGGGTCTTCCCACTACAGATAGACTGCCTTGGGCAGCTCAGGACCCCGAGCTAAGCTGTGGACTGTGGTTATATATCCCTACTTGTCAGTTCCCCCCTTAATTTAATATCTCCCTCCCTCCCTCCCTTCTTCCTCTCCTCTCTTCCCCTTCCTTCTCTGTCTCCTTCCTCCCCTCCTCTCTCCTCACTTTCCCTCTGTCCATTCTTTTATAACTTCTTGAGAAAAGTAACATGGGAAGTAAATGTTGTGAATTTTTTTGATTTATTTATTTTTATTTTATGTGTATAAGTATATTGCCTGCATGTGTGTAAGTGCACCTGTGTTGTACAGTGTCCTCGGAAGACAGAAGAGGGTGTCAGATCCCCTGGAACTGGAGTTACAGACAGTTGTTAGCTGCCATGTGGGTGCTGGGATTCAAACTCAGGCCTTCTGCGAGAACAGTCAGTGCTCTTAACTGCTGAGCCATCTCTCTAGCCCCACATTTAAACTGCCTTTTTTCCTGCCCTCACTGAGTGTGGCTGGGCACAGATCTACAGATCTGGGCACAGATGGTGCCCTCGTCACTGTTTCCCAATAAAGCTGTTGAGATTTCTGGTTCCTAGTCCTGTGCCTTTATGCATGACATGGGTTCTCCCCTCCCTGGAAACATTTATAGCCTCTCTTCTCTTGATGTCCTGACACATCCTGATGGTGTTGTGTCCTTGTTCTAGTACTTGTACTGAGTCTTAAACTCTCCTGTAATTATCCGCACTCCTTCTGAGTCCCCTTGTTCTTTCAGTGTTCCCTAGCTCATCCTCTAATGTTTTTAAAATTATTCACTTCTATTTTAATCTGCTTTTAAGAAGATCTATTCCATCTTATCGTCCCAACACGAATGCTTTATTTAATTTTTAATCACTAAAATGTCTTCCTTGTTCTCTGAGTTTTTTTCAGCATAGCATCCTGGTCCTGGTTCAGGGATACAGGTCTCCTCTGTGACCGTTACAGTGTTTTGGAGGGTTCTTTTCTCTCTCAGTATTACCTTCGTTTCCTTTAAGTTTCCTTCCTCTTGGTTGGGCTCCGTCTCTGCCTTCCACATTCTAAACTTTCCTCAAATATCTGTGGATCGTGTTTAAAGGTGATGCATCCAGGACCTAGCAGGAAGTTCTGGGCATCAGCTGGTAAGACTCTCTAGGGTCGGCCAGTGGGCTGAACTTACCAATGGAGAGACTAGCATATCAATAGTTGCATGCTTCTGGGGTGCAATCCATTTCTTTAGAGACCTTTCTATCATGCCTCCGTGTGTAGAAGAGGGACACACATGGGTCTGCTGTCACCTATACAATGCCTTTGTAGTTTCACCAACAATGCTCCCTCTAGAGAAAAGGCACCCACCCATATACACTTGGTTTGATTGGCAGAGAACAGATTTTTTTTTGTCTTGCTCTGGACAGATGCAGCTCTGAGCTAGGGCAAAGCTTAAACAGAGCAAAGGCTGGGTTTAACTCTCACGTGCTTCCTTGCCAGGTCCTTTTTGTCCAATGCACAAACTGTAGGCTAGTATCCAGAGACCGTTGAGTACAGTGTTCTGACCAGCCACTGGCCTCCTGAAGTGGCCCCTGCCCTGCTGGTTTCTGGGTTGAGCTGCTTTTATTCTCTATGAGAAGGAGGCAGAGTCATCATCTGACTCCATGGGAGGGACAGGAGGCCCAAGAATCAACAGACACTCTCGTCTTTGGCACTGTCTCACCCCACCTTCCCCATTCCAACTCCTGGGTGCCACAGCCTGAGGTGCCCCAGTGCCAACCCTGCAGGCATGTGGTAACAGGACCCCTCCCAGTCCTTCCTCATGGGCTCGACTCCTGCTCTGAATGGGGTGGTGCCTGTGGCTTTCTCTACATCCTTTCCTGTGCTTGGTTCTGTTCCTTTCCTTTCCTTTCATTCTTATAGGAGCTCATGATGAAAGACGTTAGCACGTGTGTTCCTTATACCATCTTTCATTTTGTTTCATTGTTTTGTTTTTTTGGGGATGGGTTTTGCTATGTAATCTAGACTGGCCCTGGGCTCTTGATCCCCTTGCCTTAGTCTCCCAAGTGCACCACCATGTGTACACCATCTCGATCCGTGAATACCTTTGTGTTTTCTGGCTGGTGGGTTAGGTGACTCACCCCCCTGCTGACTTGATTGTGAAATTGTCCTGAATTCACTGGGGTTGTGGCACCACCACACTGTCTGACTATGACGTGCCCAGTGCAGGTGAGGGTCAGATCACACAGGAAAGCACTGCCTGAAGGTGGTGACTCTGAGGGTTTTCCTCCTTCCTGGTTTGCCACTTCCCCCCAGGGAACACAGTCCCTCAGTGACTTCTGCATTCTGGTAGGAATAAGTCTGTGTGGTCACATGGTTTCCAGCCTTGCTATGTGGGAAACAAGTCGCCCACGTTCCCATTTGCCAGTGGACAGAGTTCTCTGTTTGCTGGTATTTGGGACCTGTGTAGAAGTTTGTGACTTGTCCTGGCTTGTGATGTCGGAGTTGTTGAGGACTGCCCCACAGACATGACCTTGGTGGGGAGATGCACTCTTGTGGGCAGTCAGGCCATGTGCTTTTCTACGCCTGGACTCAGTTCCAGCAGTGCTTGCCTGAGCTTTGTGAGGCAGAGCACTTAGAAGGCTGGGATTGTCTCTCCTCTACTGTCCATCCCTGTAAGTCATGGATTGTTTGATGGTCTTGGGGGTCGTGTGAGGGTCTCAGTGCCTTCTTTAGAGATAAGACTAGTGTGGGAAGATTAGTTTGAGTCTCCAGCTTCCACACCAGTCCAGGTAACACAGTGAGACCTGACCTCAAAAAACTAAAGTAAGAGAGCAAGATCAGACAAGGGAAAGAAAGGATTCATTGCACCGCTAGCTGGTAATTTGGGGATGGCCATCTGCCCCCAGTGAAGGTTCCTCCAGACACCCTCAGCAAGGCCTCTGAACACCATGGAACTCATTCCCCCATCAGAAGTCAAGGAGTAGGAAGGGCAACTCAGGACACATGAGCCTGGCTTCTGTGGGAGAGCTATCGCCTCCATGAATGCTGTTGATGACATGAACTCATTCATGCCAGCTCATCTCCTAAATCTCCGGTGGCACTTCCAGGCCTGGCCTCCCTGTCCCTCCTGCTTAGAGACACTGTTCTTAGGGATCCATGCCGATTTTCCCACCTGGACAGCATCCAGGGTCTTGTGGCATCTTCTAGCCTATCCACCTGGTGAGGGGGCTGTTGTGACAGTGCCCAGGACCTAGGGTAAGTGGCTCATGGCTGACTTTGAGTGCTGGTGGCATTATTTTGCTCATTTGATGAAAATTGCTGTGGAGTTTTTCCCTTACCAGTTAGCCAGTGTGAGAGAGCTCAGAGCGAGACAGAAACATCTTGGCCTGCACGGGACCTCTTTCTCTGACATTCACTTGATGGTGGCTTCTGCCCTCTTCTCTCCAGGCCACCACCTTATCAAATCTGATACCTTTTGCGAGAGGAAGTGTTAAGCCATCTATGAACTCACTTGACCCTGACAACAATCGTGGGTGGTGTTTCCTTTTGGGAGGAAACCAGAGCTCTGGAAAGAAAGATAGCAAAAGGTCACAGCCTAGAGCTAGTTCCTGACCCAACTGGGAACTTAGAACTCACTTTCTGATACTGGCTTTTGCTATAAACTTCACTGCTTAGAAAATAAAGTGATGCCCTAAGGAGAGTCTTGTTCTTGAGGGCATCAGCCTGCTTGGAAGTTGTGGGTAGAAATCCTCGGAGCCAGGCAAAGTTTATTAGTCTTCTTGTAGGCCCTCCCTGGTATCTCCTTCCCCTGCCCACCAAGTTCCTACCCACTTTGACCTAATCCTGTGTAATAACTGCTTAAATCACTCCTTCATAAGTACGTGAAAGCCATAGTTAGCCAATACTCGCAAGTTTACAACCAAATTTTCAGCCTCTAGCTGGATTTTAGCAGTAAAATCTCAGTATCTAAAATCAAGCACAGTCCCCCAGTGACTTCTGTTACAACTCCAGGGCCTTCCCCTGCTGTGCCTCTTTGACCTCTAGCTCGTGCACTTCTCAGAGTGAGAATCAGACGTTCTCTTCAAGCATCAACCTTGAGAGGGCCTTGGAAGAACATCCTTAAAATGAGGTTTAAAATCCAGGCATGCCAGGCGTGGTGGCACATAGCTTTAATCCCAGCACTTAGGAGCCAGAGGCAGGCAGATCTCTGAGAGTTTGAGGCTAGCCTGGTCTACTTGGCAAGTTCCAGGGAGACTGTCTCAAAAAGACCAAAAAAGAAAACAACAACAACAACAAAACCAGGCATGATGATACACATCTATAATCCTAGCACTTGGGAGACAGACAGAACGATGACAGCCTGGTCCTACATAGTGAGAGCCTGACGAGAAAACAAATAAAAAATAAAATAAAAGTTAAAATGGGGTGGAAGACCATTAATTCCTTGGGTGAAGTCATAATTGGTTTCTGAAATGTGGATGATTTTTCTTGCAGTTTGTGTATTTACACAAAAAGTAAATAGAAGGATTTTATTTGGTAGTTTATCCCTTTGTGACCACTGATTATACCCCATCAGAAGTAGAGGAGCAGATAGTCTATGAAGTCATGCTGGGAAGGACAGCCACACAATGCCTGTGTTCTTAGATATCATGTGAGGATTGAGGCATGTTTTATGGAAAATTTGGGGAGTTCCCAAGTTAAGATAGCCCTGTCCTGGGCATCCACGTCCTGGCTCTAGCTCACCTGTGGACACCTCAAATAAAACATTTACTTCTTTGGGTTGAAAATTGGAAGACCTCTTAGACAAGTCCTTCTGGGTTTAAAACTCCAAAGGTTAGAAAGATAGCTTAATAAATGCACTTCTGTTTCTAAGTGAATGCCAAAGCTTGGAGTGTGGCTGGTACAGGTGCCTTTGGGAGGAACTTGGTGAGACAGAGGTAATCTGACTCTTAGGAGGTTTGGGATGGAAGTTTGGAGTAGAACCTGAGAGTTCTGCTCCCTGGAACCTCAGCACTAACTTGGTCTGTATAAGTCAGCACCTCAAAATTCAAAAGTTCAACTGTAGGAATTATCTGTATGAAACTGGACCTTTCCAGCTTTTTCCTCTTCCCCTGGCAGTGATTCAGAAGAAAAAGGCACAGGGAGTTTGCTCATGGTCATAGAGGTTTCTGTTTGAGTGCCCTACTCCACAAGGCTACTGCAGTTGTGTAGAGCATCCTTGGGAGAGTGTGGTACAGGGGCAGGTGGTGAAGAGCATACCTGCTCTCTGCCCAGCGAACTGGACCAGAAGTTTCTGCCTGCATCCTTTACTTCAGTGCCAATGACAACAGCCAAAGGCAAACTGGAAAAATGGTTACTCTTTACTGGACACTTTTGGAATAAGTTATGAAGCCTGGGGGCAGGACTTTGTTCAGAGCATAGTCACTTGAGTGGCAATAGGCATTTTATTTTATTTTTTTCAGAGAGGTAATAGGCATTTTTCAGAGTGGTAATAGGTATTTTTTTCAGATATATTTAGCATATTT